ATGCACACATCTGCATGGCTGTCTAGCTATCTGTTTGTCCAATATGTCATGAACACTTCTTAATAATAAAAAACCAAATTATTAACCAATGAACTGATTGATTAAACAATGTAATTTTACTTGATTATAGTGAAGTAGGCCATTAACTAGTTGCAAACAGTAAGATGCTTGGGACCCTTCTTCAACCATTCCGTTTCTGTCATATTTGATCACTTTGTAAACAAAAAGAAAAAAAATTTGGAAGACTACAGTGTAGGGAGTGAAACTCTTCGGTTTATTTTTCCATTTCTACTTCCGGCCAATATGGATAATAGGGAGTTTTTACTAGAATGGCTAATAGGGAGTGTTTACTAGCTTTCCCCATTTGATAGATTTTAACAATACACAGCCAAATTATACTAATCTCAAAAGAAGAAAGAACAGATTGTACCCATAAAAGCAATTACGGCCTATATGGAATCTATCAATGTCTCTTCAAACCATCCTTTTCTCATAACTATAGAAATTCAAACTATGCCACCTATAGGTCTGCTTTAATACACCTGAGACCTGTGAAGCTCCATGCACAACATATTCACAAGAAATGAAACAACTTCAGAACTCTTTCTGAAAATCACTTCAATTATTACTTTAACTATATTGGATTATATGAACCTAGGAAAATTGTATACACCATGGTTTGAATAGTGACACCATATGGTTGGGTCACTTGGGAGTACTAGATAGAGTTGCTAAAGTTTGTCTATGGCAATTCTACTCTATTTTAGTCTATTCTGAGAGAAACAATGCTTTTTCAGCCTCATGACTAATGTTCTATTCCAATCTCTTTATGGCAGGGGTGTCAAATTCATTTTCATCAATGGCCCTTCCACACAATCCTATATCCCAGAATATCAAGGCAAAAAATCCCACATTATCAGAGCGTGGACTCAAATAACCCAGTTCAAAGCAAATATTGTGGGATTTTCTGCCTAAATATTCTGGGATATAGGGCTGTGTGGAAGGGCCAGTTGGCTAAAGTTCTGGAAATAGTGATCCACAATTATTAACTTTTCCCAAGCTCTTAATATAATTGTTGTTAACTGCTTTCAAGTTGACCTGAACTTATGGTGACCCTATAAATAAGAAACCTCCCAGTTACCCTATCTCAACAGTCACACTCAGGTACTGCAGATTCTGGGCTCTGGCTTCCCTAACTGGATCTATTCATCAGGAATGCAGCCTTTGCATCTAATTTAATTTTCATTTTTTAAAGCCGGGCACCATTTGCTAAGTGATGCTAAAACTGGGAGAAGGATCTACTGACATTTAGATGGATGCTTTCTACATCTGTAGGAAAAACTGAGATATATTGTCGAAGGCTTTCATGGCTGGAATCACTAGGTTCTTGTGGGTTTTTTCGGGCTATAGGGCCATGTTCTAGAGGCATTTCTCCTGACGTTTCGCCTGCATCTATGGCAAGCATCCTCAGAGGTAGTGAGGTCTGTTGGAACTAGGAAAATGGGTTTATATATCTGTGGAATGGCTGGGGTGGGGCAAGGAGCTCTTCCCTGCTGGAGCTAGGTGTGAATGTTTCAACTGACCACCTTCATTAGCATTTGAAGACCTGGCTGAGCCTGGGAAAATCCCCTGTTGAGAGGTGTTAAGATGTGCCTGGTTGTTTCCTCTCTGCTGTTTTGCTGTTGTAATTTTAGAGTTTTTAATACTGGTAGCCAGATTTTGTTCATTTTCTAGCTCCAGCAGGGAAGAGCTCCTTGCCCCACCCCAGCCATTCCACAGATATATAAACCCATTGTCCTAATTCCAACAGACCTCACTACCTCTGAGGATGCTTGCCATAGATGCAGGTGAAACGTCAGGAGAAATGCCTCTAGAACATGGCCCTATAGCCCGAAAAAACCCACAAGAACCTAAAACTGAGATACTTTAGCAGCATAGTTAGTGATTAAATACAAAAGATGAGCAACTATTTAAAAAGCACAAAAATAATTTAAAAGTAGTCAACCTCTATGTAGAAGACAAATAGGCAATTAAAGACAACAAAGAGCAATGTAAACAAAGCTCTGAAAAGCTTCTCCTTGCCAAAATAAACACAAGCAGAAAGCTCATTCCCATTTTTATTCACAGCTGAATAGAAACATACTGGGCACAAAACCAAAAATAGTATACTAAAGGTTCAGAATATCAAATTCCTTTCTGCTCAGTTAAATCAAATCCTCCTTCAAGATTATCCTTTTTATTTACTAGAGGTTCAGTATTGATCAATCACTCTAATTTTGATTGTCAACCTACAAGTAAAATATTAAAGGAAAAAAAGCATCTTACTCAGAAAGAGGAACAAACAAAGGAGAATAACACATAATATCACTTCTCGTCAGGATCTTTGCATACTTTCAGCTAGCACAGAAGTTATGGGCAGTAGTAAATGAAAGCTATACAAACAAATAAGCCACTTCATAAATAACACAGAGCATGAAACAGAATCATCAGACTTTTGTGCTTGGTTGAGGCTTCAGGCTGTTTATAAAGTCACTCCCACAAGCCCACTCTGGCACTGTGGAGCTCATAATTTCCCTTGGTTTGCAGCTCATCTATGAGAGAAGAAACAAACGGGGCAAATGCTAGACTGAAGGTGGCACAGTTATCAAATGAGGATGACTGCAGAATAATGGAATCTAAGACACATAACAAAATTAATGTTGGAAATGAGAAACTTCATCAAGCCTTCTCTAGCAATCTGTTTGTCTATGATCTTGTTACTTACTGTTTGTATGTTCTGGTGTGCAGTTTCCTTTACTCTATAGTTTCAGAGAAGTTATAAAAAGGGCTGCAGACCACATGCTCCCCCCTCCTTTTGACTATGTGACCTGGTGATAGCTGTTTTGTTACAAGAGAGATGTCCTGGATGGCTGGCACAAGGAACCACCTCAAAGATATTTGAAACTGGACTAATAGGTTTTTGAAGTTGAAGTTATGAGTAAACACATTGAAGTTATGAGTAAACCAAATATGTTATTTTAATCAAAGTCTACTTCATTTTTGTCTCTTGCGTGCATTATATGAAACAAGTTGTTTTATGGGAGAGTACCCTTTCTTGGGCACTGATAAAATGCTTCTAAAATTCCTCTGTTTTTATGCACTGGCAAATCTCTGTTTTCCTGACAGATCGGAGATTGCTGCTTATTCAGTCTAACAATTGAAACCACTGCTTAGCATAATTATATTTGGTTGCATGCTACAAGAGGAGATTCTGCTCTAAAGGGTTTTTTTTTTTTTGCTCTTCTCTAAAAGGTTATGCTCTTTAATAATAAAGGCTCTATGCAATGATTCATCCAAGAGAAGCAACTTGAAGGAGCTCCCTGGAACAGTTGCATAGCTTAAAATAATTTTGAATCCATTCTTGTGGCTAGAGACCTAGGTAGATTTTGTTGCTTAGGCTGCCTGAGGGTGGTTTCCACTGGCTCAATAGATCCAACCTTTTCTGAACATGGATAACCTGACCTCACTTGTTCATTTAATACTAGTTGCTTGTTTAGATTGCTGCAGTGCACTCTAAGCAAAACCATTCTTGAAGTCAACAAGGAAGAAGCTGCAGTTAATGCAATACGAAGCAATTAAGCTACCGATGGAATGCATGTAATACCAGCTTTAATAGCTACTGTAGGGATGTAAAATAATAATAATAATAATAATAATAATAATAATAATAATAACAACAACTTTATTTATATACCGCCCTATCTCCCCAAGGGGACTCACGGCGGTTTCCAACATATAAGGCAAAACATTCAATTGCCAAAAAAGATAACCATACAGACAAATTAAAATATACTTTCTGTCTGAATTCAATACATTATTTAAAGCTCTATATATACACTTGCCAAGAGACTGACATCTACTTTCCTCCTTTGAGTCCAAATAACGAGAGAAACAGGGAAAAAGGAGATGGCCTTCTTTGTTGGATCATGGATGTGAAATGCAAAATTATAGCTTCAGTATCTAAGAATGCTTGCTTGAACCAATAAAAATACATGGTTTTATATTTTGCAGATTACCTTAAAATGTTTTATATATTTTAAATTTTTTGCACCTGCTTTTTACCATTTTTTCTTCAAATGATGCCTTTTAAAGTACTTTTCTAAAAAGCTGCAACAATGTATCTAAAAGGAAGAACAGGAGGAGAAAAAAGATGGATATTTTTGATAAGTATTTAACACCACTGAAACTACAATGAACTAGCTATTTATTTAAAACTTTGAAGCTAGCAATTTTATATGTATCAAGCTTGAACTCACATAGACATTATTGTTACTATTTTCCTCACTGTTACTATCATTCACATTGCATCACTTTAAAAGGCCTTTAAAAATGAAGTGACTGATCTGCTAAACTAAGGCTACCTCTCCAGATGTTGTTAAACTACAGTCCCAGGAGATAATACCACAAATGGTAATGAATAATGGGTCTTGCAGTACAACATTGAGCGGAGCACATGTTCCCCATCATTACTGTTGCGGAAGATTCGTTACCCGAGATCAGACGAGCACAATCAGGAAGGAAGAGAAAGGAGACAGCAACTGATTCCAGACCTTTAATTCTATCAAGCTTGACAGGGTGTTCAGAAAAAATATCTGACACCCATTGGAAGTCAGATTTGCTCCAGCATTTATAGCATAAATTCTCAGGTTTACACATGCGCATATGGGTCTTGACATTTACACAATCTAATCAATATCAATTTGTCCTCGAGGAACCGAGGCCAAGAACAATTGTTGGCAAGATACTATAATTTCCACTGCTCCCCTTTCATCAGCTGACCAGCCACGTTCCCAGATGACTTACGTAATCTTTAGAATGAATCATAACTTCATATATTTCTCTTTATACATATGTCTTCATATATGTATCTTTAATTTATTCAAAGCAAGCATTTCCCTTATTAATTCTTCTGTAATTACTTTCACAATACATTATTTTCCTCAGTTGATCATTTAAAAAGGTGTATGAAATTGCCTGCTATTTTCATCAACCAGACAGGAGGTGGCGCTACTACTACATGACCTTTAGATGTTAGTTTTCGAATCAATAATATCGATTTAACTCATGAGCCAAGTTTCCTACCTCAGCCTTCAGCCTTTAGCCTTGGCTCCTTCAAATATTGACTTAAGATAGAGCCAGCCTAAAAGTTTTCTAAGTCATCTGTTAAATTTCTCTTCTACCAAAATCTCTACTTCCCACCCTCAAGAACGGACAGGTAAGCCTTACTACTCATTATTTTCATTTTAAATTATAATTATTTTATTTTTCTCCTTATGGCCACCACACTACAGTAAATACTGTCAGTAAAAAAATACATTACAACTTGCCTTCATCAACACCAAATGTTCCCTGGAAAATATACTTCTAACATAAATTTATGCTAATGGAAAAGAGAATAGGGTTATATGATGATGGAATTACAACTGCTCTTCCTATGGGGGCAGTATCACAATTATGTCTTGCTTATTTAAGGGTAGTTTACTCAGTTTAGAATCTCTTCTCCTTCTTAGGTGATGCTATCAGAGGCCAAACATATTTTAGACATGGCATCTTGAAAGGATAAGAGGACTACAAAATCCCTTAAATCTTTACAGCACTATAAATGGCTCTGATTCATAATGTGGCTATTTCATGACCTCTAGAAGAGCCCTAAAACAATGTTAGTAGATGCTGTGTTTTCCCAAATAAAGCTTACTTTTACTGTTTTTGCTTGGACCTCAATTGTTCTAGCTTCACCTTTTTTCACAAGTCAAATAGCCTTAAGCTCCAACAGTACCGAAGTTCACATAACTCAGATGCAAGGTATGTGTGATTTTATGTAAGGAGGGCCCTGCCAAGTCAGGCAGAGGGCTATCCTTTTGTCCACAGTGGTTAGCATAATATTTCCTAAAGGATCACAAGAAAACATGTGAAATAACAGCCATATGCTCTGGTAAAGTTTTGTTTATGGAATTCTGGAATCTTCAATCCTAGGTGGGAAGGGAAGCATGCAAGGGCAAAACTGTGTGATGGGGAATGTCAGAAATAGGCCCCAGGATTATCTCAAATAAGGTATTCACACATGTAACACCTCTCAGCCGTACATGGGATACGTATGACTCATTTTCCTAACATCCCTTATATTTCCAATCATTTTTGAGCTGATAGCCACCCTTTTCCTATACACAGCCTGAATTCATGTTCATGCTTGCTATAGGCATTTTTCATTCCCAAAGCTGGGAGGTTGCTACTGGTTTTTAAAATAATTTTTGGTGGTGGATTTGGGACTATATAGGCATCTTTTGTGCATCTGTTCAACTCTTTTAAGGGCTGCCCAAGACTGACCTGGAGTTCTTACTAACTACCCCTTCCTCAACCTGGACCTACCCATGAACATGCAGAAAGTAACCAGTTCTCTTTGAGCAACCTTTTGATTCACTTATTGCGCAACTAGCTGTCCCCTGCCATGCATTGCTGTGGTACAGTCTGTGTATATGTGTTTTGTGTGTATATATGTGTGTGTATATATTTCTGTATATGTGTATGTATGTGTGTTTGCATATATATGTGTGTGGTTTTGTGCATACATTAGTGTATTTTTATTTTATTTTTATTTTTAAAGTCTCTTCTGCTGTGTTTTTTAGGAGTGATGGTCACTTGTTGGCCTGATAGGTATATTGTGTCCAAATTTGGTGTCAATTCATCCAGTGGTTTTTGAGTTCTGTTAATCCCACAAACAAACATTACATTTTTATTTATATAGATATGTATCTAGGGGCTCTTCCACATAGGCATATAACCCAGAACATCAAGGTGGAAAATCCCACAATATCTGCTGTAAGCTGGGATATCTGAGTCCACATAGCCATATATTCCAGTTCAAAGCAGATAATGTAGAATTTTATTCAGATGTGTGGAAGGGGGCTTAATGTTAAGATCTGAAGAAACAGAATGATCATGGCCAGAACATTGATGTCAAATAAACTGGGAAAGTGTGTAGCTAAAATAAAAATGGTGACAGACAAATAACTTTAAATCATCAATAGAAATTACTAAAAACAAGCCCTCTGTGGTTTGCTTTTTAGCATTTCAACAAAATTGCCACTTTCCTCAGAAGTCTGAGGGTCCATCCTTACCTTTGGGAATAGTTATCTGACATCCTAGGTCACAGTCCTGCTGCAACTGATAAAAAGCCACTTCCTGTAGGCGGGCACGCTCCAATTCTGAAAGACTTTGGACAGGAACAGATTTGAGTCGAACACTGCGCCCCGACATACTATTCCAAGTGAAGTCACCCTGCAGAAAACAAAACAGGAAAATATGAAGAAGCAAATAAAGCTCAGATGTTAAGTGAAAACACCATTCCATCACTTCACAATTAAAATTATTACTCTTTCTAATTTTGTATTTATTTGTTTTAATGTACCCAGCCTTAATTTTTATTTTTGATTCCACAGTCAGAGATGGGTAATACCTTCATTTTCCACTGGGTGAAGCAGTTACCCATACAACGATTTCAGAAAGATGCTTCATATAAATCTACTCATTCCATTTCTAATTCCACATCAGATGTGCAAAAGCATCTCTTCTCACATTAGCACTGCAAATTATTATAAGTGAACTGAAGAACATGTATTTGTACCATGTTCATGTATTTCAATTATTTGTATAACTTCATGGGCCAAGGGAGATTATAGGAAACTTTACCAGGCCAATTACATTTGACGCAGGTCACCAAGATTATTTTAATATTGAGATAAATGTTTTAATGTTTATGTATGCATATAATGAATTCTTGTTCTGGCATTGATGCAAGGTATGTGTGATTGCTGTAAATATGCTTTGCTCCGCCCTGAGTCCCCTTAGGGGTGATAAGGGCAAAATATAAATGTTATAAATAAATAAATAAATAAATAAATAGGATTATTACTTTATATACCATAACAAATTTGTTAGCATTATCAATATACAGTTGGCCATCGGTACCCACTCCAGTCACTTCTGAAAAACCAAGGATCATGTGATTCATTGTGCTCACAAATGAGTAAAGGGTAGCGAATGGATTTTTTGGTCGTGTCAGGAGCGACCTAAGAAACTGCAAGTCGCTTCTGGTGTGAGAGAATTGGCCGTCTGCAAGGACGTTGCCAAGGGGATGCCCAGATGATTTGATGTTTTATCATCCTTGTGGGAGGCCTCCCTCATGTCCCTGCATGAGGAGCTAGAGCTGATAGAGGGAGCTCATCCGCCTCTCCCCGGATTCGAACCTGCGACCTGTCGGTCTTCAGTCCTGCCGGCACACTGCGCCACCGGGGTCTCCTTAGCAAATGGATGATCATCATAAATACAACAAGCACCTAATTTGCAGTAGATTCCAGATTCAAGGAATCTCTAGAATAGACAAGGAAATTCCTTCATTAAACTTTTGAGAGCCATTATCAATCAAATGTGACAATACTGAGCTATAAAGATCAAAGATCTGATTCTGCTTCCATATTTTCTGCATGAATAAGAATAAACTTTGTACTTATGAATTCTCTCCAGTAGAGCCCTTCTAAAATGGTCAAAACTGTGCTTTGTGTAAATCATAGTTTCTTTTCCTATTTGGGCAAACCACAGCTAAAACTCATCAAAGTTTTTTCTCCATTTGGGACAAAATAACAAACTTTAACAGAGAACCTTTATTCCTCATGGCCTTGTTGGGTGAGAGGGAAACATGGTATTCACTGATGCAACAGTAAATACTGGTTTGGGATTACACTTAAACCAGGCAAATGAGTTCAGACATTACATCAAAGCATGATTTGAATTCTCAAAAATAAATAAGCAAACCATAGTTTAGAAGTTGCATGCCTGTGTTAATATTATTTTACCGAGTCAGAAATCTAATGTTCACAGGTAGCAGAGGTTGGAATCTACTAGTAGATACAGCACAAGACTTGCACAAAATCACTGTAAAGTTTGTGAAACCACCTTAAAAAATCATCTCTGACTCCCTGAAATGATATATTAATAACAGAGGAAAGATTAACTACATGCATCACTTTACATTTTTGGTTTTGACTTTTATGGATTTGATTATTCACAGATTTAACTAAATTATTCTAAGAATCTCTGGGCCCTCCAGTGTGACTCCTCCATTCATCCTGGAAGACCTTAAGATTTCTAGAGAGAACATTTGACTAGGAATCCCTTGGTCCTCCAGTGTGATTTTATGACTAGCATCCAGTAGAAGTCAACCACAGAGTCATGTCAAGTTATATCATATTCAATTATATCATTTCCATTTCCAATTATATTATTTCTATGTATTATGACTAAAACATTAATGGATAAGCATAAACCTCTATATAGGAGTGTGCAAAGGAAAAAAAGGTGTGCAAATGTTCAGCCTTCCCCACCTGTTCTGCACAGCAAACACACATGTGCTAACCTTGCACTAGTTCTCAGAGTCTCTTGCAGGCCACTTTAACATTATTGGGGCAATTTCAGTGAAGACTGTATCTGTCAAAACATTTTTAGAAAATGATATTTATGAACACCAGAATCTCCTAATCTACCTCAGATGACCAAGAAATGTTTACTGTCAGCTATCTGCTTTATTTAAAAACTAAAATGCATTTAAAATCCAGACCAGAGCAAATTAAAACTTCAGACTCTTCATAAAAAGGGCATAACCTAGTGGAATTTGATTTGCAAAAAACCTTGCATACTCCATTTCCCTTGTTCTTGTTCTTGAAAAAAGAACAAGGGGAAATGACATTTGTAGATCTTCCCACCTTCGCGGAGCACATCTTTCCTTTGATGACAAAAAACAGAGATGAGAAAACATGGGAAGCTGACAGTCCCACAGAACAAACAGAGGGGAACAAAGGGATTCCTGTAGTATAGAAACAGATTTATTTATTTTAGCATGAGCTTTTATGGATTAAAAACCATTTCCAGACACATATTGACATAGTACAATATTTAAGCTTCAGGTATAATGCAGTTATATCACTGAAGGAGTGGAATCGAAGTAAAATATAATACAAAAAGGAAGACTGTCACATGGCTAGAAGCCAGAAGCAAGAGCACTCTGTGCAAAGATCTCCTACAAGATCTTCTATGCTGCCAATTATCTCCAAAGTATGAAAGCAAGAAAAATGGCATAATGGATATAACTATGTCAGATGAAACCTGTTTCCTTCTAGCTCTCCTTCCCACTTACCTAAGAATGTAAGGCCCCAAGTTTAGTCCCTGGCATCTCAAATTAGAAGAGAAGAACAAAGTGATGCAAGATACCTTCCTAAAATCTTTGAAAACAATAGCTAATACTGGGAATCTTATTCAACCTGAGAACCTCATCTGTCTCTAGGGGCACTTGTTGGGGTATATGGTGATGGTGGACAACAATACAGGCAGTCCCCAAGTTATAAACATCGAACTTGTAAACAACTCATAGTTATGACTGGGGGTGAGACAACAGGAAGTGACAAAAGAGTTATCATGGGGAAAGGGTGTCTCCACTGAAACTTTATCACCAATCCTTGTTTCCACAACAAGCCAAATTTTTTAAACCCAATCATCATGGGAACAGAAAGTGAGGACAAATCTTCTGAACAGGGACATAGAAAGCAAAGCAAATGTCACAGGAGTGTTAACTCTTCCCTATGCTATCCAAAAAATTGTATCTGTTCTGACTTATTTATTTATTTATTTATTTATAGACTTGTATACCGCTAATATCTCAGCCGAAATCGGCGACTCATTGCGGTTTACAACAGTTAAAACAATACCATATTAAAAACATGAAACACAATTACAATACAAATTATTGGGCCACCAATAATAATCCCATGCATCTCGTAACTAAAATCCCAATCCAAAATTCGTCGTCCGTGATTGTCAGTCCTTTAGTCATCAACATTCGGTTGCAACGTACTAGCCAAATGCTTGTTTGAACAACCATGTTTTCAGTCTCTTCCGAAACACCATCAGCGTAGAGGCTGATCGTACCTCTAAAGGGAGGGTGTTCCAAAGCCGAGGGGCCACCACAGAGAAGGCCCTGTCTCTCGTTCCCGCCAACCGCACTTGTGAAGCCGGCGGGATAGAGAGCAGGGACTCTCCAGAAGATCTTAGGGTCCTGGTGGGCTGATAGGCTGAGATACGTTCGGATAGATAAGTTGGGCCAGAACCGTTTAGGGCTTTAAAGGCCAACGCCAGCACTTTGAATTGAGCCCGGTAGCATATCGGCAGCCAGTGGAGCTGGTGCAGCAGAGGAGTTGTGTGCTCCCTGCGCCCCACTCCTGTTAGTATCATGGCTGCCGCCCGTTGGACTAGTTGGAGCTTCCGGGCTGTCTTCAAAGGCAACCCCACGTAGAGAGCGTTGCAGTAATCAAGGCGGGATGTAACCAGAGCGTGGACTACCGTGGCTAAGTCAGACTTCCCAAGGTACGGTCGCAGTTGGCGCACAAGCTTTAATTGTGCGAAAGCTCCCCTGGTCACCGCCGAAACCTGGGGTTCCAGGCTCAGCGATGAGTCCAGGATCACACCCAAACTGCGAACCTGCGTCTTCAGGGGGAGTGCGACCCCGTCTAACACAGGCTGTAACCCTATACCCTGTTCGGCCTTGCGACTAACCAGGAGTACCTCTGTCTTGTCTGGATTCAATTTCAATTTGTTCGCCCCCATCCAGACCGTCACAGCGGCCAAGCACCGGTTCAGGACCTCGACAGCCTCCTTAGTAGCAGGTGGAAAGGAGTGACAGAGTTGAACATCATCTGCGTACAGATGACATCGCACTCCGAAACTCCGGATGATCTCGCCCAACGGCTTCATGTAGATGTTAAACAACATGGGAGACAATATTGAACCCTGCGGAACCCCACAAGACAAAGGTTGTGGGGTTGAGCAGGAGTCTCCCAATAACACCTTCTGAGACCGACCCTCGAGGAATGACCGGAGCCACTGCAAAACAGTACCTCCAAGACCCATCCCCGCGAGGCGTCCCAGAAGGATACCGTGGTCGACGGTATCGAAGGCCGCTGAGAGGTTCAGCAGCACCAACAGGGACACACTCCCCCTGTCGAGCTCCCGGCGCAGATCATCCACTAAGGCGACCAAGGCTGTCTCGGTACCATGCCCCGGCCTAAAGCCAGACTGTGCCGGATCCCGATAATCCGTGTCTACCAAGAATGCCTGGAGTTGTGAGGCCACCACACGTTCCATGACTTTGCCCAAAAAGGGGAGATTGGAAACAGGCCGATAGTTGACGAATTGAGTGGGGTCCAGTGATGGTTTCTTCAACAGCGGTTTAA